TGCTTTACAAAATTAGTCGTATAAAACCTCAGCACGCAAGAGGTTGAGGTTTCCTTGTTGGCCCAAAAAAAAAAAAAAAAGAGGTTGAGGTTTCGTGTCACACTACTTGATATCTTTTTTTTTTTTTGGACATTTGCTACTTTAGCATATGTATATTAATTGGCAAGTCCCACCCAGTGACATTCCTGCTGTTTACGAATTTGGACCTCAGGAAAATGAGCGTAAAGGTCTCTCCACAAATTAGCCTGCACATGATCAATAACAACACGTGAACATCTTAAATTTAGAGAAAACAACTGGTGTGGTCAAAAAATGGCACCCGTCTAACATGTATCTAGGGAAGATCTTGATTAGTATTCTCGTTTAAAATAAGTATGTACTCTGCGTTTGATCACCATTAATGAAGCCAACCACTACTCCATATAATACAGTGGCCAGCTGGGTCGTTGTCACTTTTGTTTCTGCGCCTCTCATATTTAATTAAATCTCTAATATGTACGTAAAATATATATATTTATATGATTCTACTGCGCGCAGGCTTCCGTTTTAATTAATATGTTCAAATGATTGTTGTCATGGGTTTGATGAGGCGGCGAATATCCGAGAGAGACTAATAATAAAAGAGAGGAGGTTTTGAGCTTCTCTGGAAGAAAGAGCAGTTCTTTCGGATTTCTTTAATTAATGAGCAACTTGATGATGATCGAAGATGATCGCTTGTCTTCTCCCTTACCCTTCTGGCGCAGTCTGCGCGTGTATGCTTCCATCTTCTTTACATGATTCACTGTATCGGTTAAGGATTAAACAAACCTTATGTGGAAGTAACCTCACTGTAAAGTTGGTGAGCTGTAATTGCAGCGCATTACCATATCTCCATTCAGATTCTAATACAGCAGCCAATCAATGATAAATATAATAATCTACACATCTGATGATATAATTTTATACAGATGGTCATATATCCATGAATTATGAATAGCATTGCTTGCTTTTTTATCCTCTTTACCATTTGAAAAAACTGCACCTAAAACTTTGATTGAATCAATATCCTTTTTTATCAAACAAGTGTTTATAGTTTGCATTGTACGGGAAATTAAATCTTTAGACTTACGCTTTTGTGGGTGACTAGGGATGTTGAACTTGGAGAAGTTGAGTTGGCTGGCAACTTAAATAAAGAAAAAGGAAGGGGAGGAAAAGGGATTGTTTATGATGACCGTAAAGATGAGTGGGGTGCTACAGATAACTATGTAAAGCAAAGAGGCCCAATTGATTATATATTAAACGAGTAGAATAGGGAGAGTAATATAATGAGGCACGAACCAAATCTTAAAAAGATTGTTTTAGCCATAAGCTCATCATTGCTAATGAAAGCAGGACCACATATATCTTGGAATGTGGACCTTTTTGAGTTTTCAGCTTCCCGCATGACATTGGCTTCCCTCTTTTGATTGTCTTTAATTAATGGACTAGCTTCACGTAATTTCAGAGATGAATGGATGGATGTATTATTTATTTATCATTGTAAAAATATAATAATATATATGGATCTTGCCCCCATCTGCTTGCCTTACATGGCTCCCCGATTAAGGTGGGTCAATGGCTCCTAATTAATCTAATCTACCTGAAGCGACAAAACCTCAAGAATTTGGGATTCCTTATCACCCCTCAGATTCAAGTTATAATATTCATCCATTTACATCGACTCATCTGAACTTGATAGCTGTAGTTGTTTTTTTTTTCCCCCCGGTTCTAATTGTTGATATTATTTTATTTCCACACCTTCCATAGGCTCATTAGTTGTTCATTTTCATATCTCCTCCATGTCAGAAATTTTGCAGATATTTCGTTTTCGACAGCCAATTATAGTATTATTGAATTGCATGCGACTGCGTCTGCAGTTTACTGAATATATATGTATGGTCACAAAAGGGCAACTTAAGCTTAACTAATCCCTGAATCCATTGATTTTGTTTAATATTCAAAGAATGCAACTAGTTAAACTCCAGTAAGGTGAATATATATTCGAAAATGGCATTCGAGAAGGTCTAAGAGAGACTGAACACAACGTTCCTTTCAAGTGGAGCTAGTTGCGTTCTGATTCTAGCACAGTACAACAATGACCAGTAAGAAGTGGGAAACGTGAATATCAGTCACAAGTTAGGTAGGCGTACCATTTTTAATGTTAATCATCATATGCCCTATTTTTGTTGGTCATATGCCCTATTCTATTTCCCATATAGCTCATCTCAAATCACAACCCGTCATCCACTGCTCAGCACCCTGAAATAATTTGAAGATACTGTCATTCAATCTTTTTAACCCACTTATGTGACCCAAAATTTAGTGCTTCGGGTGATCATGACCAGAGAGAAATTAAGCCGCTAATTTTGGCTTCTTTTCCTTCTTCTCTCCTTTATTATTTTTTTTTTTTGCCTGTAAGGAGGATGCCCCAGCAAGGATGCCCAAAGGAAAGGAGATATGTAAATGAATACTGAGTAGCATTCATTCAATTTGATACTGACGTTATAAGTAACGGGATTTATTGAAAGGTTATTATCAGTTTCGTGCAGATAAGCATGTGATAATTTGGTTAAACTGGGTTGGAGGAATAAATAGCGGAGCTACAGCTGGAAACCGTACGGGAATAAGGTAAAAATGATGATTAGATTCCATTATTCCTTCCTCATGTTGCTCAGACTCAAGCTCTCTCTTCCTAGTGACTACAATATACCAAAAAGCCTGCTGTCTCCTGCCTGCTGGTACCGAGATTATTACTTAAATAATTGTCAAAGCAAACTCGCAGGAAATCATAACCTGTTGCTGCCAGGCTGCCTCCACATCCTATTCTCTCCTTCACTCTGCATCACCGCCTTACACTTGTCCCCCATGGTCCACCCTCCGAATCAATTCAAATGGTTTTTGAAGCAAAGATTTAGTGGGGTCGTCCTTGGGACCATCATATACACTCAACAGGGTGGTTTTATGAAGAGTATGCGATGGAGGTTAGGTGAATAATTGTGGGTTCTTCAAAAGAAATAGAAGAGGTTAGTTCACAATGATTAAAATGAGTGTGTAACACGCTGCGGGGAGGGGGAGGGGGAGGGGGGGGAGATCGGTTTAAACAGTTGGCAAGTGTGTCAGTGAAAATCATATTATATCAAAAGGAGTACGCCAATGAATATTGATTATTGAAGAAGCATGCCCTCCCTTCAAGAGAAGAGCTCTTGAAATCCAATGGAAACACGAAAGTAAAAAAGCAGAGGGGTGAATAAACTATTGATTAAACAAACCAAAAAATTACCAATAGTAAAGAGTAAAAGGAAAAAGATATTAGGTTCTGCAATAATTCAGCAACAGGAGCAGTTGGCAGTGGTTAGTGTGTCTTTTAAACTCATACATGACGCTTCTTAGCTTGGGCAGGTACACAACTCTAACTCTTGCTGCTCTGTCTTTCTATCTTGGCACTAGTTCCTGGAGTTGTCTGTAATATATATAAAGGTTGGATTTTTATGTTACTCCCCTATTGGTGAGATTGGTCTCTGCTGTGGAATTTAATCATACATTTGATGCTCCTGATGATACGGTCACACATACAGTGATGGGCATTAGATTACCGTGCTGAGCAGCCCTTTCATCGGTCATTGTATGATTTAGGTAGAATTTGATGCTTTTGCTCGTTCCTGGTTCTTGGATTCCCATCCGATAATTCATTGGAGTTTCCGCTGCTTTTCTCGTTTTTATCTTTAATCCTCACTAAATAAAGTTTGTTTATTCGTTCAGATTTCAATAACATACGCAATATCGATATATCTTGCTCGTTGGAGCTCATATTCAAGTCAAGCAGGTTCAGGTCGAAAAGACTAGAGCTTGATGGCATCAGTCACTTGGGTGTTCGATTAAATGTAGCAATGAAACCATTAGTTATTTTAGAGACAAAGGATAAAAGGGAATCTGCTTTAGTAGTTCTTTGATGAGATAGCTGTTGGCAAATCCCATGGTTTGTCTAGTCTGCTTTATGCTCTGAAAGGTTCACTTTCCTGTCTGAGCATTATAGCAGAGTTGATCCTAGGGTTTTTTGAGTGACAAGGGAAGTGGCCGGTGACAAGTAGATTATATTCCTTTTACTTTGGGTCGATGTTACCATAAGATGTTTCTTTTACTTTAACTTCCTCTCAGTCCTATAAAGCTGCCGAGCCTATTTGTTCCTTGTTGAGCCCTGCAAGACATCTCCGTTCAACCAAGCTTAGTCAAAATTCGCTTTCCCTTTAATCATACAATTATTTATTTCTAGTGTATTGTAGGTTTATAACCTTACATGCAGCCCCAGTCTGGTCAAACTGTGGAATCACAAGTCCTCTAATTATAATATATAGGCTAGTTTATTAGTTCTAGGAGTCTGGGTACCGAATTCAGGATATGGGGGGTCATGAAAACACCGTGGAGTTTCAACACCGAAACGAGGGCATTCTGAGTCGTCCGGTATCGGGTTTGGACACCAATGTTTCAGATTTAAGCAATCCTTTTCTTGGTTCATCTGCCTGGGATCCACTTTTTCCATTGAGTCAGACTCACAGCTTTGGGGGCTCATCATTGGTTTCACATAGTGACTTTGCTAACTCTTCTTACCCGAGTGTCTTGGAAAATCAGGGAATGAGTAACTCCTCTCACCCTGTTCACTATATGTCTGACTCAAATTTTGCTGATATGATCCCGAAGATCCCTCCCTATGGAAATGGCGATATAGCTAGTGCAGGATATGCGTCAAATTATAATCCAAATAAGGAAGCAGGCATTGGAATGGCTCCAATAAATGATGCACAATTGCTGGGTGAGCATTCCACTCCTGAAGAGGGAGGCACGTCTTCACCTAGTGGAAATAGAAGAAAACGAGGGCTTGATCATAATCCTACATTCAATCCAAGTAAGGTAGGTCGAGTTATATCACTCTCAGCTAAGAGGTAAGAAATTTCATTCTGTGTTTTATTTCGTTTCGCGAGCTAATGAATGGATTGTTACGTAACCTCCAATTAGAGTGCTGAAGGGGAAGCACTCAAGGGTTCATCAGGGAAAAGCTTAGATGGCTTGAAAGAACAAGATGATAAGAAGCCAAAATCTGATCAAAATACAAGTCCAGATTTGCGTGGTAAGCAATCAGTGAAGCAACCTAAGGACAACTCTCAGAGTGAAGACGCTCCCAAAGACAATTTCATCCATGTGAGAGCTCGGAGAGGTCAAGCTACAAACAGTCATAGCCTTGCAGAAAGGGTACCTTCTTATTACACGTTTGCCATAACCAACGCATCTCTTTTGTTTAAATGATAAATAATTGTCGAACGATTTCTTTTCCTTTTTTCTTTTTTTTTTTTTTTGTTTTTTTTTTTGCTGGCAGATAAGAAGAGAAAAGATAAGTGAGAGAATGAAGTTACTCCAAGAACTTGTTCCTGGATGCAACAAGGTAATTGCAGATTATTGTTCTTGTCCTGATTTCTCATGTAACCACGCTGATTTTCATTCTGATTTTCTGCCTTCATTGACTTGGTTTAGATAACTGGCAAAGCAGTAATGCTTGATGAGATTATTAACTATGTGCAATCACTTCAACAACAGGTTGAGGTAAGCTACCTGAGAAATGACCAATTTCTACGTTATTGAGAAATAAAAGCATATCTAAATATTCTATTTACAGTATTATTCACTCGAATTTGAATGATGATCTGATTTCCAAAATGTACCAGAAAATTGAATTTTTCTTCTGCCATCTTGCATAATAACGGGAAAGATCTAGGCATTTCACCAAACTCAGACTGTTGCTAGGAAGCTAAATCATGTCTAAGTATTCTATAACAATATTGTCCATTCAAACCTGAATGATGATCTGATTTCCAATATGCGCAAATTGTTGTATGCGATGAGCCGAACATTGATCATAATCCAGAAAATTGAATTTTCTTTTTCCCTCTATGCATAATATCATGACAGATTTAGACACTTCACTGAACAGTGTTGTTGCCAAGAGTTTTTATGATAAATATGAATCATGCTTCTGGTGCTTCTCAACTTAAAAAGCTATGTATTGCAGTTTTTGTCCATGAAACTTGCCACCGTGAACCCTGAACTGAATCTTGATGCAGAGCGGATCCTATCCAAAGATGTAAGTGAAGGCCATGGCGCTTGAATTTGAGTAATTTCTGTTACACGAATAATCTGGAGCTCTATTTGTCGTGCTTAGATTCTGCAGTCCCGCATCGGACATGGAGTTATTGGCGGATATGGAGGCGGTGTCATCGGCTCAAATCACCTATTTCTCGGTGGAGGTTTTCAGGGGACCCTGGGAAGCATACCCAGCACATCACAAAATATCCCTCCTTTGCCTCAGGTAAAAAAGTAAAAAAACATCTCCAAAACACCGTAATCCTCTCCTTTTTGGGAAGATGCTGATACTTGCTCATGCAGAGTGTTATGGATCCTGAACTCCAGAGCATATATGGAATGGGATACGATTCTAACTCAGCTCCTCAAAATTTGGGACCACAAACAGGGCGGTAGGAAACAATTATAAATAGTGCAGAGGATATGCGGCCTTGCTCGTTTGGACAGAGTCTTGGGAATTTTGCAGTTGAGTGCATCATTTTACAAGAATTGAATAGGGAGGGAAAGCGTAAAATAATGATTCGGTTGTATAGCATCTTAATTCCTAACCCCTGCCTCTTCGAAATTTTTAGCAGAAGATGACTTGTTAGATCGAAGGAACCAGGTCATGCTGTGACCGGTGAAATCGATCACAGAATGTGTGAACTTATCTGTAAGGGTTTTTATAAATAGCTTTGAAAGCAAGAAATTGTAAGGAATGCAAATGTGCGGGAGCATATATAATATATATAGAGGTAATGAAAAGAGATTGTTTGAGTTGATTAGCAATAATCTTTTGAAGCTTAAACGACTGTGACTGCGTTGCCGGTCCATCAAGATTGAGTTCATGAGAGGAAGCATTCAGTTTTCAGCTTCTATCAACTCATGCTAAAACTAAAGGTGATGATGACTCAAAACCCACCTCAAAATTAGGCCTTGGGTGAAATTTACAAATTTACAAGCTTGATTTTTGGACAACATAAATTGCGGGTGATGTGTACATGATCTCGTTAAACCAGAGTAGCATGCATAGAAGAATGGGAATTGAGGATTACAAAAAACTCATGGTCAATGGCTCAATGCCTTTAGTAAATTTAACCTGCGTGACCTTTTGCTCTTCCTAAGCGAAAATGGTTCTGGTCTGTGGAAATCGAATCCACAAAAAATAGGGCAACTTTGAATGCCCCAAACAGGTCGAGACCAAAAAACCTCAAAAATAGCTAACTTGCTTCTGGCATATACGAGCGTGCACGGTTCAATACAAGTACGTGCGCGAATCTCTCCACAATTCATTTATGGAGCGAACAAACTGATTTCGGTTAAGACTTGAGAGCGACGCTTTCTCTTCCACAAACGAATATAGCGCTTTGATGAATGCTGATAGCCATGAAATGACAAACTCAATAGCACCATCAGCATCAAGCGATTGTGAACCCTGTGAAACTGCCAGTTTCGCTTTTTTGAATCATAAGCAAACTTCCAACGGAGGACAATTAATTAATTACTTTTGCTACCCTAAATTTCAATGCCTATATGTCCATGAAATATTGAGGAAAATCTGAAGAATTGGAAGATGAAGACGTGAGGTGGGACGAACAAATAGGCCGACAACCTGGCGCTGTCATTTACCCCCACCACATCTTTCCTAATCATGGTGCCTCGTGAAGGAATCAGTCAACTTGCGTGAATGATCCCACGTTAGTCTCATTAAATAGCTTCACGAGTATTCCCACATACAGGGAACGGAATCTCTGCTGACCAGTAAAGTGTTCTTTCACACTTGTGATTACTTCTCGTCTGGTCTTTTAACTCTTGCCACATCCAGATTTAATACCACCCTTTTCTGTCTCGTGCTAGCAAAACACATCGGCATAAACGAAAACAAGCAAAAAGAAAAAAAGATTTATGAATGAAATAAGATTATGATGAAGGTTGGTTTTAAGATTTCACAGGACAGTATATTAAGCTACCGCAGAAAAATATTGTGGTTTTGGCGTGACCAAATTCTTCAAGTAGATGGGAGTCTCCACATAGCGCGAACACGGATTCATTCACCTCCTAGTGATGCGAAATACGAAAGGAAGCCCTCCCTGCAATGGGATTTTATGAATATGGACAGTCGCTTTCTCTGTCTTTTGGGTGCAAATAATTTCGCATCTTTTGCGTGATGTTTCCCTAACAGTGCAGGCAGTATTTTTGGCCCCAAAGCGCACGGCCTTTTTTGCTGGAAATCAGTTCCAAGTGATCTAGGAAACATTCAGGGCCTATTGGGTTCCAAAACGTGGTTTCAGAAGCACTTTTCCGCAAACGAAATAATCTCCTCCACATATTTACTTCGTAATCCGTAAAACACTTTTGAAACCATAGTTTGTTTCTATCCAACACACTCACAATTTGACCCACAATTTCAGCCTTGTTTATGACCAGACCTCAGTCCAGATAGAATAAATGGCTCCCACCAACAGATCAATAAGATATCTATTTGTAGTTAGCACTTTCCTGCTCAAGGCTGCAAAGCGGTGAATACTGCAAATAGAAAACCTCCATCACAAATACTACCTTTGTTTCTTCATATCAGATTTTGTTTGACTTTTATTTTGGTTCTAAATATAAAACCTCAATATACTTTGTCTTTAATATTTATACATTTTTTTAAGATTGTCCTTTTAACAATGGTAATTCTAACCAATACACTTGATTAGTAATGATATTTTAAGAAAAACAACACCTATTTATGACAAATAACTAACTTAACTTATTTCATTAATCTCCTCAAATTAATCAACTAGCTTTTATAATTAGGACCAAAGGTAGTATTAAAATCAAGGGAGCAGAGGACCGGACCACTGAGTCACAAGCATAATGGAATATACATGTCATGTTAGCTACCTCTCTTCTTGTTTTGGCGAGAATGTCTCAAGGGTTGAATTTGTATTCTGGCATGAAAAAATTAAACAGGACAAGAATGATAATACCGCTCCTGCTTTTCTGTGTAACTAGATTCCTCCGCTGATATTTGAAGCACAAATTTTCTTACAAAAGAATTGGTCCAACAACAAAAGAATCGACAGTTTACAAGTGGGAAAAAAAATAATAACAATAATAGTATTCTTACACAACGAAGAGGCGTAACCATCTTCTGATTTACCCGGGGAAGTCAAGTTTTTTGTGTTCCAAAACACTGATATCTGTCGTATGGTGGATGGACATGGATAAGAAGCCTGAACAAAAGAGGATGAGTGTCCGCATAACTGCGATAATTGATTGACGGCACAAGGCACGGGCGGCCTCCCAGGTTTGCTTGTATGCATCAGCCGTGTATATTTACAGAGAGATATCAGTCAACCTGTTCCCCAATCAAGTCTAGACCGACTAACAGGAAGGAAATTCCTTGGAATAGCAAGAAGTAGAAGTGGATTCCCTGAGCAGAGAGGAGACTCCTTGCCGATGCTGTTAAAAGAAGAAAAGCCAAAGAAAGCTCCTTCAAGTATATTCTGTTATGCTTCTTCTTAGATGCTTTTTCCTCCTCTCGTAGGATTACTTCCTTCATTTCCTCAAGATCAGGCACTGATGCCCCTCGTTGATGCCTCGGGGTTTTCTCAACCAATGCAACAAGATCACCCTCGGAGGAACGACCAGACTTCTTAGTCACAATCCACTCATATGCGCTACCGAGTTGCAGTAGGCCAGAGATCATAGCATTAAATTTAGTAACAGACATGGTATTCTCAAAAAGAAGGTAGGGTACAATGAAGGGAAAGGATTTTGGGGCTGGAAGGATGTTGAGAAATGACATGACCGCAGGGATATAACATACAACCCATTCAGGAAGCACAGCCTCTGGAACAAACATTGTCATAGGCAGAATTATACAGAACAGGGTGAATGAATAGAAGGGCAATATCAGTTTTCTGAGTAGAAAGAAGAGAAAGATCAAATTGAATTTCTTCCACATGCTTATCTGCAGAAGCAAAATTGCATCAGAATCGTTAGTACCAACATTGCATAAAGCTGTCGCGACTAATGTATTGTAACATTGCCTTCAGAAATACATACATTAGACTGTATGATGTCAGGCAAACAAAGGCGGAATAGTTGCATTGGACCAGAATGCCACCTATGTTGTTGTTTCCTGTAAGCTTCATAAGACTCTGGCACTTCACATTGGCACTGGGAGCATAAGCAACTAGTATTATATTAGTATGAGAATCAATAAGCAATGGAATCTAATGATAGGTTTGAATTTATGAGGGGAAGACCTCAACGTCATTGAGATAAATAAATTTCCAGCCATGAAGATGAGCCCGAACGGCAATGTCCATGTCCTCAACCGTGGTCCTCTCTAACCACCCACCAGCTTCCTCTAAAGCCTTGATTCTCCACACTCCAGCAGTTCCATTGAACCCGAAGAAATTGATGAAAACACCATTTACTTGCTGTTCCACCTCAAAATGGAATGCCAAGTTAATGTTCTGCAACCGTGTTAGCAGGTTCTCATCCTTGTTCACGAAGGACCATCTCGCTTGAACTAGTCCTAATTCCTCATTGTCCTGTAGCATCACCAATTGGATTGATTCACTATAACATACGCAATTACAATGGTTGCCAGAAACATGAGTACTTATTCGACAATGACAAAGACTGAACCCTATTTTGGACTAAATGATGAGGTACAGAATAAGACGTTGAATTAAATTACCTTGAAATGAGGAACTGTTCTCTTCAGGAAATCCGGGGCAGGTTGAAAATCAGCATCAAAAATAGCAACAATCATAGTCTTTTACATAGCTACAATTCATGGCAGACTTGAGATTACCAGCCTTGTATCCGTCTCTTATCACCCGATGCCGGTATAAAATGTTGGCACCCTCGTGCTGCCATTTTTTGACCTCTTCCTTGATCAGAGATTGTGTGTTCGGGTCGTCGGAATCATCAAGAACTTGTATTAGCAACTTGGGTTTTGGCCAATCCAAATGACAAGCAGCAGCAATTGATTGTTGATAAACCTGAGCATAGTTAGAATGTTAGACCAACATAATTCGGTGGTCAATTCAACACAAATATAGAACGATGGGAATTAGATCTTTACCTCTCTCTCGTTACACATGGGAATCTGCACAAGCACCATAGGGAAGAAACCTTTCTCACCGGACTCAAGATCCACCGCACCTTCTTTCGGAACAGGTTTGATCTTCTTCAACCGAATCCAGAAACATCCGAGACATAGAATTAATCTATCCAGACTCTGAATAAGGAACAGCACAATACATACATTGGCCAGGAGTTGCAGAGGAGGAGCAAGATAGGCCACCCGAAACAAGACCCACCGCGAATACAGCCAATCGAAAACATCTCTAACACCAAATGAGGCTACCCACGTATAATCAAGTTGGAGATGGGGCGCACCAAAATGCCAACCTTTAAAGTAGGCAGCCACCTCGAAACACAGCAGAAGCACGGACAGCCACAGGAACAATTTTATAAACGAATAAAACCTGCTTTTCACAGTGGGGTTCTCTTTTTCCCTGCCGCCACGACTTTCGTTTTCGTTGTCGGCATCGGCGTCTGTTCTTCCGGAAGCTACTCGGCGCTTCACAGCTGAGGCTAGGCCCAACAATGCGGACGCAATGGAGGTCAGGCAACCGGCTGCTCTGTGGGCTTTGAGGAGAAGAACCCATGTGAGTTGCTTCGCATTTTTGCCTCTGCCCTTATCTCTTGGATAACCCGATGGGTCGGTGACGAGGAATTCTTCCTCTGAAGGACCTTCAAGCTCAACCATGGACCAATTGGGGTTCTCCATCTTCACCACCACAGGGGTCCCTCGGGGAGGTTCTTTCCCGGACCAATTGGAGAAGGACTTCATTTCTGGGTCCGATCTCAGGAAGAACAAAACTCGGAGAGAAACAAATAATATGGATAACTTTTTCAGTTTTCCAACAAGCTGAGCTCTCTCTCTCTCTCAATATCTACCGCGAACCGCTTGAAGGTCAAAAGACGGGAAATGAGAAGCAGAATGCTACCAGAATGATCTCATTGTCAGAGAAGAATAGGAAAAGGAAAAATGGTAATGGTAACAGCAACAGACGCGTGGAGAAGGAAGCAGAGCGAGGCGTCTTTAAACCACAGTGACATTCGGAGGCAAACTATACGCGAGATAGTTCCCAGACAGATGGGTCCGTGAGTTACCCAGACACAATGGATGAGTTTAAAACACCTCGCATCCTATTACGGCCTGCAATAAAGTTGGTCTTAAACGTATTAAGGAATGAGGGAGCAGGAAAAGAGAACAAGATATCGGAAACTCGGAGGGGAACAGCTCAGCACGTCTTTGATTTTGATTCCGGGAATTTTCATCGAGAAATTGGCTTCCGCGAATTTAACAAGAATATTGCCCAGAAAGTACGTTCAGCAGTCAAAAGCACCACCCTTGGCCTTGGCCATTGATCTCTGTTCCCATAACCAAAACGGGAAAAAATGACTAATTTTATTGATAAATTTTTCCCACTCCCAATATTGAAAGGGATCAATCATGGAGCCACGCTAGCAGTACTTCAGGAGACAAATCATAAAACTGGACAAAGCCACGATATGAGACACGTATTTTGCGACAAACGCCTTCTTTTTATCTTAATTTCCACCAACCCCTTTTAAATTTCGATAAGCATTCACAACAACCCCAGCATGGGGATATTCCAGGCAAATCGGGGAAATGCGAAAACGTTGCTCTTTTACAGCGGTAACAATTTAAAATGGAGGAGGTGTTCCGCGCGAGGGAAACTGAAAGGCGTGATGATGATGACGCTTGCTTGCAAATTGGTTTCGGAGAAGTCCCATTTGGCGGTGCGGGGGACCAAAGAAGGAAAAATTGGAAGATGGCGGCGATTGTTCACAAATTGGTAAAGAAGCCTGTGAACCATACGGAAAAGCATAGGTGGAGAAATTTCGAAGCGCTATGAAGAGCCAGCCAAGAAAATCACTCTGCTTTCTCGTACATTTTTTTGTTTTGAAAGGAAAATAACATGTAATAGTGCTAACTCATTACATGATTATTGATTATGAATGGATTAGTTGTTCATTAAAATGAAATAATATGCAATTGCATGCGCAGTTGGAGTCTTCATGAGAGGAGACGACCGGGTCGCTCGCGAGCCAAGGCACTTGCAGATGGGGCCGCTAAATCCAATCTCCTGATCAGCGTATTTCGTTACTACTCCACTCGCTCTAACGAGCGCGTGGCAAAACACACCTTATGGTTGTTTCTTCTGCCCATCATTTGTTTTTCATTTCTCAACTAGAAGCCGATAACCATTCATAATAATCCTACTCTAACGCTATGTTTGGTATGGGGTTTTCGGAGGGGAGGGGAGGGAAGTTGCTCCCCTCCCCTTGTTTGGCTGGTATAATTTTTTAAAAGGGGAGGGGAGCTCCTCCCCTCCCCTCGTTTGGTTAAGATGTTTTTTAAAGAGGGGAGGGGTTTTTCTCCCTTCCCCTTCCCTTCTAGCCTCCCCTCCAAAAGTGGGGTTTTTTGGAGGGGAGATGAGAGATGATATTTTAATTCCTTATATGCCCTTTTGATTTGTTAACTTCTAATTAGTCATAAACATTTCTACATAAGAGAGTTCTTTTGAGCATCTAATAAGAGGTTATTAAGATAATTATCTCCAAAATTAGTAAGCATTTGTAAACTTTTTTTTCTCTTCTTCTAATTCTAAGAGTCCGTTGGTATTTTCTTTCACCTTCAAGGTCTTTTCTCTGATTGAAATCTATCACTTGTGAGTTTGTCTTGATATTCTATAAGTGTGTGACTGTATCTTGTAAATCAAAATTAGTGAATTGTATTATATATATATATAGTTATATCTTAACAAAATAAAAAGTGAGAAAATTCATTTAAATTTTATGAGGCTAAAATAGTCAATTTTTTATTAGAACAAAATAAGGTATTATTAAAATTACTCCCTCCCCTCCCCTCCAATCAATCCAAACAGGAGATCATTAAAATCCCTCCCCTCCCTTCCCCCTCCCTTCCCTCCCCTTTGTAGCTACCCTCCCCTCCCCTTCCCTTCCCTCCGTCGAGCCAAACATAGTGTAATGTGTTGCGTATTCTCTTCTTTCTTTTCCCTCAAAGTTAGGAAGACGTCTGCACCATGTGGCGGGTCGTATTTGTTGGGGGCAAACAAAAAAAAAAAAGTGGCGTCGTATCCCGTTTATGTTTATTTCTCCCTAAATTTTTGTTTACCAAAATTTCTCTTCAAATTTTAAAGCATGCAATTTTCATAGCTTACCAAAATTTTATTTACTTAAAAAATATAATCGATCATTTTGTATTTTATTAGTAAAATAACTGAATAATTGATGATCAGCGGTTAGCTAATTAGCGGTATAAATTTGGAAGCTTAAAATGGTTGTTGTAAGAATTTAAAAACCAAGTAGGATATTAAAATAGTTTAAAGGGAATTTTTTGAAATTTAGTCTAAATATGTTATTAATATTAGAGCTAATTGATTAATTTAAGTAAATTAAAAGAGTTTGTTAAGTTAATGATTTATAATAAATAGGTGCTATCTTTTCTACAATACTTTTGTTAATTATTCATCCTGTCCTAAATATAAGATCCTTATAAGGGTCTTACATTTAGGACCGGAGGAGTATGTGCATTAACTAAAACTATCATTTGATAAAACATTTAATATGTGCAACTACTATAAAACTGCTTTAAAAAAATGAATAAATGCTACCTCCGATCTTTGATATAATAACTCATTTAACTTTTATTTTGGTCTTATATATAAAACGCCAATATATTTTGTTTCTCATATTTATCTTTTTTCTTAAAATTGTCGTTGTAATCATGATAGTTCATAATTAATAATGATATTTTAAGAAAAATAATACGTATTTATTATAAATAACTAATGTAACTAATTTTTTCAATTTATTCAAAATAGTCAACTAGCTCTTATATTAAGAACTAAAAGTAGTATAAAAAATAAGATGGATTAAAATTTTATATTTATAATTAAATCAGTTTTTATATTAAGATTAATGGGTATCAATCATGGATGAATAAACCTTTCGAAATGATTTTTATTAAAAGCAGCGACTTCACTTTTAATCATGACGTGATTGATCCAGCCCCATGCACCTGGAAATACAAATAATAATACATGAATTTTAATCACCTTTAATCATTTCCCATGCTGTGTTCCACATCCAGTCCACACCACTCACTCGAGGAGTCGTGGGAATAATGCATTTTCTGCAAGTATTTGTCAATCAATGCGCCTGCCAGGCTTTCGATTGCTGTTTTTTTTTTTTTTTAATTGTTGGGGGGGGGGTTGTTTCGTGTTGTTTTTGTTGTTTATAAAAAATATCGCATGCCTTGGACGTAAACTTACAATATTTACTTAATTACTTGTACTTTTTACAAGCTTAAAATTGGGTAATTGTTCCAGCCAAAGACAAAAGTGGTTGTTTATTATTTTTATTAAATATATTCGTGTATTGAAAAAATATGAAATTTAGAAAAGGGTCAGTTCATGCAGGAAAAAAAATGTGTGCATGTTAAGAAATAATACATCCAATCTTTTCTTATAAGTGTTTGAGTGAAAATTAAATCCTAATTTTAAAAGTGATTTAATATGAGATAAGTTTTTCTTTGACTTGCATAAAAATATTTTTTAAAAGAGCTGAAAAGTGCTTTCTTCGCAAACCAAACATCTTAACTAATTTGAATAAATTAAAAAAATTAGTTAAATTAGTTATTTATAATACATAATTAATAAGGATGTTTTAGGAAAGATACTCCTCCGGTCCTTAATATAGGACCCAATTATTGAATTGGTTTTGGTCCTAAATATAAGACCCGTTTCTTATATTTATCAATTTTCTCTAAATTACCCCTATGGATACTTCCTCAACTATAATCAAGTAGAATAGGAAGAGGGGGTATTACGAAAGATGATTACGGTATTTTAGGAAAAATGTGTCACATTTCTTATAATTAACTAACTTATCTAACTTCCTTAATCTAATCAAATTAGTTAAATGGGTCTTATATTAAGAATCGGAGGAGTAACATTTATTATAAATAACTAACTTAATTTAAGTTAGTTATTTATAATATATTAATTATGTGTTTTATCTAAAACTATCATGTGATGAAATATTTAACATGTGCAACTATAAAAATAATATTTTTAAAATAAATAAATAAATATGAGAGATAAAATGAATTAAAATTATATATTTAAAATCAAATTATTATTAGTATGGATGGATGTGATGACGATGCGAAGCAAGTGGTGAAGTGCATGCCTGCATGGCCATGAGGACATGTCACGTGAGGAATGCGTAAAATTATTTACTATTAAAAGCGACCGTAATTTTCTTGTCATTCTTAGATCAGGATGGTTGAAATCCTGTGATAAGTGTGTTTGTCCTGTCACAACAGTATAGTAAAAAAAAGGTTCCCTTTCGGGCCGTAAGTCCGTAACCCCCACCTCTCCTCCGAAACCCAAAAAAAAAAACAGAAGGAAAAAAAATCAAGTATTTTTGTCGGCGTCAGATGAAAATGAAATTACCATCGTAAGCATGCCTTGGGTTTGTTTGAACACCAGAATCTTACCTTTCATTTGTAACTAAAAAAATGTCAAAATAGCGTGAAGGTTGCCAACATCCACACAGGTGTCAAAGAAGTTTCAAAATTTCTCTGTATTTATATCCAAGTGACAAATTATACATCACAACATAACTTTGCATGTCTCCAATAGCACTGCCAAGGTGTGATGATTCATATTGTGTAAATTATACTCAAAATGTATAAGAACTAACATATTATGTAAATTATACTCAACAGGTATAGGAGCTAACTACATAAGCTGTTATCTACAAGACAGAGGGTAAGGCCCTGTCAAAATAACCAGTGAAGGCACTGAAGCTCTGTTTTCCCCGTTCTACCAGGCAGCCTAGGCTTCTTGTTGAGCTAAAATCTTGGGGGTCCAGTGAGAGACTACTTGAAAAAATAACAGAGATATTATGAAACTGCTGACTGGTGATGCAATGTCAGGCGCCAACAGCTGCTTCTTCACCACTAAAGAAGCTGTACAAGTCACTGGATATGGCTACAGTACTAGAAGAGACTGCCAAAAAAATCATCAACCATGATAATAACTTGTCCTTCTTTGTTGCCACTCCATGCGTGTCCCTGCCAAATCAAGAGTCATTTAAGAAACCACAGAAAATTAATACATATCCACGGCATGCTATAAGATTTAACTTGACTACCTGAGAGCAATAGCAGAGGGAAATATGAATCCACTACCAACGGCCGCAGTGGCACCAGTGAACTGAAAGGCATCCCAGATGCTGGGTACAAAATTGGCTCCAACGAAAATGAAAGACATGAGAAATACAGTCACTAAATAGAATCTCTTGCTGTCAAAGGCAAACGGAATGGCATGTGGAAACAAAAGACCATCTAGGTTGAGGCGGAGGGAATAAAATACAATGGGGAACACCAGCATCAGATGAATGCCATAGCTCACTCTAACCACATCATTAAGAAATGAGCCAAAAGGAACTCCAAGATCGCCATCAAAGTTAGCAAGTACGTCGTCCTGTGTTTTATCCCCAAACAACAGATATCCAAAGAGGCTGGTCGCCATATACACGGTGGAGCATAATGAGAGGGATGTCCGAACTATCAACTTCATATGGCTAGGGTCTTTTAGTTCATTCTCTATAGGGTGAACTGCATTAACAAGAAGGCATGATCATTACGGCAAAAACTGCAAAGTTTAAGGCCAGACTGTAGTATGATGAGAAATGACAACCATTGAAGAACAATTATGCATTGTTCGCAATGAATGAAGGGTTATCACAGTACAAGACTTGGTGCTCACCATTATGATGGCAGATGTAAGCAGTGACTAGAATAGGGATCGTTGTGAAAAGCTTCCAAAAGGATTCCTGGCCAGTGAATTTTGGCATCAAGCGTGGTGTACTAATGCTTCCATTGATCAGCTTAACAATTACCACGCCTGCTGTTATCGCCACAAAAACAAGAGCTAACGCCACTGACAATGCTGAGGTGAATCTCAATGAATCTGATACAATCACAGAGAAAGACAAGGCAAACAAATTTCAATTCAAACAGCGTAAACAGTTGTTCAACAAAATATAATAATGTTCAAGAAACAGAGTATAAGAATATAAACAAACATAAGCTTGTAGAAGCAGTGAGTTATAAAGGGTGCAAAAAATATTTGGCAAAATTGGTACAAGACGAGAAATAGCTAAAGCAAGAAAACCACTTTAACATAATTGGGAGATGGTTTATGACCTTGATCTATCAGCGAGCAAAAATCTGATAAGCCCACATAAAATTTTGGTGAGTATCACTTGTTTACCACAGAAAGCACAAATACAAATAACGGAGTCCCTTAACACACATCACTTGAGTCCTTTCAATTCAAGCCAGAGATGACGAAAATGGTATACTATGTCACTTGATGGGTCAATCAATCACTGGGATGTGGTAGAATTCAGTTTAATTGAGGTGTGATGCACCGATATTTTCAATTAAGGGTGAAAAAAATTTATCAATACTCAATTGTCAAAGCAATGAAGATCAGGACATATCCAAGGATCGTTACAAGTGTACGTGTCAGGGTCCAAGTTCCAAATATACTGAGGAAGGTTCGAGGAACAAGCCAAAGAGGTATATAAGAAAACAAGACATGCTGAAAGACCATATATCCATGAACAATAAGTTTGACAAAAGAATGAAAGAACGAGGGGAAACGCACCCACGCGCTTGAATGATATAAGAGGGAGGAAGACCAAAAGGGTTGTGAGCATCAGTAAGATGGAACGCGTGGACCACCAACGTTGGCCAAACCATTCTTCAATCACCCCCGAATAGTGGACCCCTTCCGACCAAGTTCCCGATAAAACATCTCCTGTAACCACACATTCAATTTTCTTAGTTTCAATCAGACGGGATCCGATAAAGCTAACGCATCTCAGGCTATTCTAAACCTGTAAACAGAAAAAAGTAGACTATACACTCTTTTTCCTTTGTATGCCAGATACCAAAGACCAGGAATGAACATGGTAGTCCTTTTCACCTCGTTATGGGGCAAACGATGAGCGTAGTAATCCTAATTCCTAATACAGTTTTACCACACTCAAAATAAAAAGTTTTCCGGCAACAAAAAAAAAAAAAATTCCTCCTCCAATTTGTCAGGACACAGACTATTGCTGGGGCGTTAAAGACTTAAAGTGATGACCTATTGCCCTGGGAACCTCTCACAGTTCCCGAGAAAAACTCCATCTTTGGCGTCGATTATTCCAAAGTCCCAAAATTATGTTTAAAGAGTCTGGACATGAATCCAACATCGATTTCAAAATGGAATTTCCCTTTTCAAAAGAAAGGAATATTTAATTTTGTTGTAAATAAAAATAAATTTAGAAGAGAGAATATTAGTACCGATAATAATCATGTATACAATGAGCATTCCCGTGTTGTTAACGACAATGCAGAGTTGCAGAAGGATGCGGCCGAAGTCCCCGAAAGCGTCGTGAACAACGCTGGAATAGGAAGAGGTCTTGGAGACACGGGTGAACCTCAGGAGTATGTCAATGGAGGATTCAGTTAACATAGCACCGAGAAGAATCATGATAAGGCCCGGAATCAACCCCAACTGTTTGACGGCAGCGGGAAGAGCCATGATGCCGGCGCCGACGACGGTGGTAGAGAGGTTAAAAACAGCACCAGAGAAGGAAGCGCCATCAAAGCCAGTTTCGGATTGGAAGGGTTCGCAATAGTCGGGTTTATGAGTGGGAAGGAGAGAGAGAGTTTTAGGACTGCGGCGATATTTGCGTTCGGAGATGAGTGGCATTTTCTTGGTTAGAGAGAGAAACGCAAAGTTGGCAGGATTTGGAAATTGAAAGCTGAGGGATGACAGTCTGATGGCGGAGCCGAGCGGGAATCGGCCTCTTTCACGCTCTTTAAACATTCTGTTGCGGGCGCCAGGGACCTCCTCCAATGTTCACTTTTTTTTTTTTGGGCATGAAAACTGAAATCGAATCATCACTACAAGTAGTACTAATGCGAGTACATATCAAGTCAAACTACCCCCTTCATCAATTGGCTCCTCATGGATGTAAGGTGGGGGTTAATCAAAAGTATAAAAATTACATATTAATTTTTATTAAAATATAATAATTTTTTAATTTTATTTTTATTTAATATATGTATCTTTTAAAAAAATAATTATTTACAATATAATAAATGAAGAACGAAGTAACTTATAAATAAAAAAGAAAAAAAAACTTTTTTTCTCTACTTTATATTTATAAATAGGACCAGAGATGAGATAACCTATGGTCAATAATTCTAGCGTGCTGTGCTGCCTACTCCTGTGATTTACCTGTACATACCAGTTCCTACAAACGAGTAATCTAATTTCTGCAATGATGTCTCTAAAAGGGTGAATTGAGTCCCAGCCCCCAGTAATTAGGTTTACCGTCCCCATACAATCAGTCAAAATATTAACATTTTCCATTCCCCTATGCCGGCATATATGAAGACCATTCAGAATGGCCAAAAGTTCGGCAATGGTTGGGGGGCACGTTCAAAAGTTTGCTACTGGACCCAATGGTCCATCTGTCTTCATAGTCATAAATGTAACCTTCAATATTCAAATTTCGCGTTCAAGAGTATATACGAATAAATTTCCCGATAAGAAATGAAACAGGTTTAGATTGATTACTTACTATTACAAATTTTTTATTAGAACTTCATGATAAACTTCCCTTAAACAGCAATTTGATGTGAGGAAAATGAATGAAAAGATATGAGAAGAAAAATTTTAATGAGTTTATTTTAAAAAATTTGAGAAGTTGGGTTAAAATTTTTAACTAATTTTTTTACTCTTTTATATTGCATTTTTTAATTAAAATTTTATAATCTCACTTCTCTAATTTTTTTTTTTAAATGAGTTCCTTAAAATTTTTCTTCCCTTCCACTTCCCTCCATTTCTCTCTCACTAAACACACCTAAATAAATTGTTAATCAGTTTTTTTATTGCCGTCTAAAATTGATAATCAGTTTATCCATCACAATGAACAATGATGTATTTTTTCCATGACAAAAGAAATGATGTACTTTTTTCTTTTTAAAATTTTGTGGAATTTTTTTAAAATAAAATTTTTAATTTAATCTTTAATTAAATTAAAAAATAGGGTTAAGACTTAAGATTTAGATTTAGTTAAAAAATTTTGGGTTAAATATTGTTTGGAAGTTTAAAGGGAGAATCCCACAAAAAAAGTTAAAATTAATAAATTTTAAATTAGATTTAGTAACAATACTATAACAGGTTTTGATAGTACTAGACTTGCAAATAACAACATACTATTATTTTTGTAGAAATTACTCACTTGAAATTTAGTAATTTGATTTTTTTTCTAGATTTCTCCCAAGTTTAAAATCATATCAATTTTTCCTTATACCGTTAAAAAGTAATATTAATCATTAAATAGTAATATTGGTTGTTAACATTTTTAATAGTAAGAAAGAAAATTACTAAGATTTTAAACTCATGAAAATAATATTGAGCCAAAAAAAAAACTTTTGTTTTTTTAACTGAAAACCCAAAAAACTTTTAAATGCCCAACAATTCTAGCTAAGAATTTTCAGGACAAATATGCACATTAATCCATAAAAAATATATGATACAAATAAAACCCGCATTTTTATTAAATCCTTAAAAGGACACATTTTGGTTTAATCTCATGAAATCCATAAAAGAGTCTTTTTTTTTTTAATTAAAAATGGAGCAAAAAGGTACCCATTGTGTAGGTCTGGATTGTCTGAACCGGCTCATGTTACACGGGGCTTAAAAGAAAAGGGGGGGAAAAAAAAAAAAAGAAGGGTACCTCGCATGCAATCCTACTTTGTTTAAGAGATTCTTGCTAAGAAAACATATTTAAGAATCTAAATAAGAAGATCTTGTTAACACGAGAAAGGTGATCTTTTTAAACTCTGATAATTAAATAACTTGTTTATCTTATTCATTGCATACCTTTTCATGATAAAATGTGGGGATGATTATATAAAAAGAAAAGCTAAAAATTTATAAATACTAAATAAAGAATATCAATAAAAATTTTTTTGTCATTTATAAATTTAGTGTTGTTACCAAATCTATTTAAAATTTAATAATTTTCAACTCTTTTTTTCGTCACTCTCTAAAGTATGCTTCCTCCAATTCTTTAAATTAGGTGTTTTTCAAAAATAAAAAATGGTCCGAATTATAAGATGCCTATTCAAAATATCAAATGATGTTCCATTTTTACTTTTGTAATTTTAATTACATTACAAACTAAATTTTATATGTAGGATGAGGGGCAATGGCAAAAATATTTAGGATAAGAGGTAGTTTTCTTATAATTTGAGAAAGCATTATGAACTCTCCCTTTAATTAACAAGGGCATAATTGAGTATGAATCTTCCAGAATAACTATTCATGTGGTTGAAGGGAAAAAGAATAAAAGCATAAACCCACCGAAAAATGATAAAAAGAAGTGTTTAGATAGAAAACAAATTATGATTTTAAAAATAATTTTACGAAAAATAAAATAAATATGTAAAAGAATTTATCTGAATTTATGAAAAAAAATATTTTTAGAAAACATTTTAGGCAAATCCAAATACCCTCCAAGATGGGCTCCTCCACTGTTCAATCTTTTTGCAAGTCAACAAAATTGCATTTCACCATGTTGCCAGACACCTAGACCAAACTCAGCCCCCCAAAAGTCACTGCGACTGTGAAGAACAGACATCGCTTGTAATTTCATTCATTAACCAAGTCAAATTTTCCTCTTTCTCTTGGAGGTTTTGCTCGGATTGGTCTTGGGATCCTGATTCAATTGTGATGCTTGCGACGTCCCCACAGCACAACTCCATAATGCCCTTTCTACGTCTGATGGGGTGAAGGGGTCTCCTTCTGTGCTCAACTCCTGCAAACCATTTTCCCACATGATGTTATTGTAGACAATCAAGCTTCCCTTAATGAAATATAGTTCTTCCGACAAAATATATTCACACTGGACAAGCATGATCGCCCCACCATCAGGAGAAAGCAAGATTTGGATATGCAGGTTCGTTTCATACAAAGCCATGCTTCCTTTTAGTGAAACATCCAATGTACTCAAACGAAAACACCAGTTACAGCAAACGTAACGAGCTAATAGTGCTCCCCTCTGTATCTCTAAACACCATAAGCTCTAATTCAGGAGGAGCATTAATCAATCCAATTCCAGGCTGTAAGTTGCACAACAGTCAGCAATTTGGTTACTTTCTTTGTGGTTGCACTGGATATGGTTAGGTAGCAGTGGCGGGTAAGAAGCAGATTTCCAAGGAAGAATTCCCACGTAACAGGGGAAAGGGCAACTTTGTGGTATTCCAAGGATTTCTTTTGGCAGTAATATTATATAAGCTATCATACAATAGGGAGATGTGAGAATGGAACCAGAACTAAACCTTATGGGTTGGCGATTTCAAAAATAATACACGGAACCAGTTCTTGCAGAAGATAATTAAAGAGACAAAGTTCATTCAATGAAAATTTAGAAAATTATATGCATCGGCGTGAAGAATCAGCAACTTCACGAGCAAAATAATATTGAAAGGCGCATGCATACCTTCGCTTTTGCCTGTAGTTTGCTAGCAAACAGTAGATATTGCTTCAGTGAATAATCTTTCGAATTGCCAAGAGCTGCCTCCAGAGCCTGTAACCATAAGAAAGTGAAAGGAAGGAAGGAAGCGCAGCGATTGTGAAAAGGTGAAAGAGAACGGAAATGGGGAGACCTCGTCGGACATGAAAGGGGTGATGTGCGGGGCGAAGGCAGCGAGAACGGCGGAGGCAGTGGCGGGACCGACACCTTTAAGGACAGTGAGTTCAGAAATAGCTTTGGAGATATCAGGAAGACTCCCAAAGGCCTTCTGAGAAGCAGATTTCACCAAGGAGTCGTCCAGGGACGAAACGAAATCCAAAAGACGAGGCCTGAAAATACAGTGCATAACTTCAATTTTGAGATAGTGAGACAAGAGGAAGAGGAAGAGGGAAAGGGGTAAACAAGAAAAAGAGGAACCTCCATTTGCCACGGGTGAGCTTCCACTGCATGAGCTTAGAGAGCTCCGGAGTAGTGATATGAGGGTTAGGGCTTCGTTGGAGGAGGAGAGAAGGGAGTTGGCTGCAGTAGAAATCATCCAGTGAAACCAAATTTGGCTTGTTAAGAGATTGGATTCTAGACTGATAATTGCTCAAAGCTTCTTTCCAAACACTGGGATCCGAGCACTCAAAATCCATCTCGCTCGGCTGGAACTGGCGGTTCCTCCAAAATTCCCCGTCTCACTTTCTTTCTTGATCTAATAAAAGTGCAATAACAAAGTAAGTTCGGAAAATTTAGATGATCGACTTGAATCTGCAATGGCCAAAACCCTAAAACCCAATTGACACTCTCGAACTACAAAGTAGCAACAACTATCCTTTTTTTGGGAGCGGAGTTTAATTTAATTTCCAATAGTTCCCGCCACTCTGCAAGGACAAGTTATTGCCATCAATCGTCAGGTATGAATTATGATAGTGCATGCAATGAATCAACAATGTCAGCGCAGGACTATCCCTATCAACATTCAAGTGCTCGAGAGGAAAGGAGCAAATTTAGAAGTTGGGCTTAATCCTAAATGTTGGGCTATGCGATGAGCAGGCAATCTCAGCATTAGTTTGATGCAGTGATTGGGCCCCAATTATGAGACTAAAACGTCGCGTTAAAGAGAAGGGGTCAGGGTCAAGTCATTTAAATTTTATTCTAACAGGCCTGGGCCGCACTCTTTCGGGTCATGTCATACACCACAAGACGCGTTCGGAGCTCGACACGTGTCAGCTGTGAGAAGTTGTGTGCGCTTCTGGTAAATTTGGACTCAAAACAACTCACACCTTTCCCGCCAAACAAATATCTCAAAATAAAAATCAATGACCTTTCATGAAACCAGTATAGCATACTTTTTCTTACATGATACTACTGCATTAAGACTTCATGATGGATTCATACTTATATAAGTGTCTCCTCATAAACAACATTAATTATTTCTAATATTTTTAGATCCACTTCCACTATCAGACATTACTATTTTCAATTTCAATCTTGATAATATAACGTGATTGATTATGCATACAATCAAGCTTTGATATATATATTTATATATAATCATATTTACAAAAGCGGAGAAAAGCAGTCTTTTAGAAAATCAACTGCATCATTATTTGTTGTTCATTTGCTTTTTGTCATATGTTTCGATTTTTCCGGGTGTTGGCATCTAGGTGGCTCCCCCTCGCCCCGCCCTTTGTTTGACCTGGCTCTTAGTATCTCGTGGCCTAACGATTCAGATTAAAATATACAGATTTTTATAGCATCTGAATAAAGTCCATTTTCGAGGTAAAAATGTGACGTGCTAGTACTACAATAATGCCCAGCTGAACAAGCATAGGATTCTAACTTTTGGCTATGAAAATGCGTAGTAGCGATGGTTTGAATTCTGCAATTTACAAGTCCGCGAACAATGTTATGAAAGAAATAAATAAAAGGAGAGATCACCGTACACATTGTTAAAAAATCAACGATTTGATGAGCAGCATAAATTAAAGAATAAAAATAATATTTAAAAACAGGGAAATTTCGAGCATTCGAATTTATGGATAACGGGTCATGGATCCAAAAGTATCGGACTGTGTGTGTGACTATGATATATTCGGACATTCCAAAGAACACTCATTATCTGCGTGAATTAGGAATGTGTGAGAGAGAGATGAGTGGGTGATTAGAAAAGAGTGAGGAGACGTTTGTAGGGAAAAGGGGCGAAGGAGAGAGTAGTGGAGGCACGTGGATATCCTTATATAAGTAAGCAGAAGAGAGTGGAGTGAGTTGCGAGGAATTATTGTGAGCAAACTGGCTCCATAATTGACCCTTTTATTGCGGATCAATGCCCACTGGCCTTTCCATTTCTGTTTCTCTGTCTCACTATCGCCAAATCTCCCCTCCCCCTCCCTTGTTTCCCCCATATCGTGTATGTGCTCTTCTCCATTGCCTTTTGCCTTTGTTAAGGATCTTTTTGTTTCACAACTATACATATATATTCACAAATAAGCTGTGACTGTGAGCATTCCAAGGTTTTCCCCCACTTAATATCATCCTTAAAGTGTTAATTGAGAGAGAGAGAGAGAGAGAGAGAGAGAGAGAGAGAGAGAACTTTCTGCTCCTCGCATTATTAAACAATATACAAGCAACAGTAGTTAATAAGCATGCATTATTCATATAGCTGAGGTTTTTATTTGGGGTTTAATAGCCAGACTATTTCAATACATTGATTTATTTTCAAATAGCCCATCCAGATCATATTAACACTGAACATATGTGTCTGTCTCTGCGTATGTATATTGGCCAGAAACACCAAGATCACATACATGAGCGTGGGCCGAGGTGCATGATCACCACCGCGTCAGCAGCCATGCATCAGCACGATGAGATTGCGTACACCAAGAAAAATCACTATGAGATCTCAGACATCTCAATAAAATAAAACGCAATCACCAAAGATTTTGAGTAACAAATGAGTGATATGAATTCTATTATCATTTTCTACTGGTCATGTATCTTTTCAATTACATTTCTTGCAATGATTTTCCTGTAAAAACTAAGCATAAGTAAAACCATTATTTTTGTTGTTTTTGGCGTACTAGCATTGTATTACATCTTCCAGTGTCTCGCTGACACATGTCTCGTATCGAACAAAATAAAGAGACACTTGCACACGATCATAAATCTAGGCGACGCCGAATACACGCGCATGAGAATTGAGAGTACAAAAATACAAATAGGGAACCAGATTTACCATAATAATGCATGTAGATTACAGAGTTGCTTTCTTAGACATGAAGGTACGTAAATATAGATAGGCACGAACCCATGAACGGAATATTCTTGGGAAATGGAGTACAAATATGGGGGGAACAAGGAGTATAAATTTTAGAGGGAGACACATTCTATTTTGGTGAGAGTCCAACTTTATGGTACGGTGGATAAGGTATAGTTGTTTCTTTAGCACCATGTGAGGTCAGGCACATCGGATCAAGTCAACACTGGCAATGGCTAGCACACAGAGTGGAGTGAAAACTGCAGCTTATGTGTGTTTGGTAAGGGCGTAAGGATTTCTTTTCTTTCTTTTATTAAAAAAAATATATATATGAGTGTGATGCATATTATTTGAGTCTTTAGGAATGTTTGATATACTTCCTTATATAAAAGAAGCATGCCTCCCTCCTCATCTGGTTTGATCAGAGATACTTCCTACGGAGAGCCCCAGAGAAAATGTTCGCATTGTATGTTGATTTGTTCACGTGAGTTATTAAACATTTTAGCTAGCTATATCATCTTTTATTGATGTCTAAAATGTTTTAATTTTAAAAATAAGTATTTAAGTATTGTTTTATATAATTATTCAAATGGCGTCGTTAGTGAAGGGCGTATATTTTGACCCAAAAAAGAAAAGAAAAGAAGGGCGTACATAGGTTAAAAAAAAGAATGGATAAGGGCATTCATGTTATTGGCGACTTTATTAACACCTTCATTCCCTTCTTTAATTGCTTCTTACCAAACTTCTAATGGAAAAAACAAAATCATAGTTTCTTCCTACCCACCCAATACATTTTCTGCCCAAAAATCGTCTTTTCATAGAAAGCAATATTTGCCCGTCCTCCTTTCCAACTCCTTCTTTCATAAAAAATAATTCATTCCTGCCAAACATGACCTCATCCCCCCCTCCTCATCTGAAATTAAATAGAATCAGCTTAAATAAAATAAATAAAAAATGGGACTCTCTCATTAATACATCTCTAGGTTATAATGGAAATACGGACCTTATTTTTATTTAATTTTTCAAATTAATAAATAATGATCTAAAATTTCAAAAGCAATCACAAAAACATTTAAAATAGTCAATACAAATATAGAACAATACATTATAAACAATTTACATAATTAACATTAAGCATCAGCTCATTAAGTAATAAATTTTATAACCTTTTTATACAGATATAATATTTGATAGAAAAAAACTATCTCTTAATAAATTAGAAGTGTATCTATCTAATTTCTGTTAAAGTTAAAGTTCAGAGACCATGTTTTTCTAAAACACTTTTTTCTGTAATAAATATTGTTTTGTATTTTGTTTTAATTGTTAAAGTTTTTTTATAAATATAGTATGCTTGTATTTTTTTAATATTTTATGTTTAGCTATATAACATGAAAATTGAAATGTCCACAAAAAAAAAAAATTTTCAAATATAATAACATGTTATTTATATGAAAAATAAAAAATAAACAAAAGTGGCGGGTTAGCCCATCACAACTTGTGGGTTATGTAGTGCTCATATTTCTTTATAGTGGGATGGTGGGCTGACCGCAGATTCCAACCCATATTTCTGATTTTATTCAAAGTACTCATATTTTCTTCATTACAAGACTTCTCTCTCACACTATCTCGGCCATAATTAAGTTATTTTGATTATATAAATATGAATACATGAATAATCTCTATGGTCTTAGACGAGAGAGCGTAAATTTATTGTGGAAAAAAATATAATTGGAATTTGGAATAATTGTAATCGTAGGTGGAGTGTAGAAAATATAACAAGGACGGTGAGTCGGAAATACAGATGGCAGGAGAGGGAGAGGCGTGAAAGAGGGGTCGGTGACAGAGAGTTTGGTCAAGGAAACGAGGACCAATCCCTCCATAAGAAAAGTGCAATCATTATGATCAAAGCTGTCCAGACAAATAATGGAATTGGTGCTGATGCTGTTGCGCCCACAAGCCCTGTATTTTATTTTCTATTTTCAAGCCACTGAGCCTAATAAACCGTTATACTAAATTAGTTATATGGCCTTTCATTTTAGAATGGTCAATTGATGATTATAATTACATCTTTCTTCCCACGTGTTTTAATTTTTAACTAATAATTATTTGAGAAAATTAAGAAAAAAAATCCTCATCTAAAATTTTATTAGTGAGAAGTACACAAGTTACATTACCGAGTTCTCTATATACAAAATTTATAAATTATAAATACTTTTTGTGTATGAAAATTTGTGGAGTACCAATAAACTTTTAAATGGAGGGTTTTTTCCTCTAATTATTTTTACATTTAGTATATTTTGCATGAATCAAAAGTTTTTTTTAGCTACAAAGTCTCGAGTAATAAACATAATTATTAAAAAGTCTTTATGATAATATAATATCCTACATATAAATTTCAGAATAAAAATAATAACAGTTTACTTATTATTAAAATTTAATGATAATTATTTTCTTTTTTCTGAACTTTATAATTCTGCCTGCCATATAACCTTAGCCAACACAACAATTTTGAAAATAGTGAGAATAAATAGAAAGAGGAACAGGTTTCAGGATCCCACATGGAGATATAGCTTTGTGATCACATCCATGTCGGGAATCTTCATCTTAATTCCACTGTCTCTG